TTTTCACATGGCATGCTAAGCTACACGCAAGCCAGTTGTATAGCATGCAGAACCCTAAAGGGCTTGTTTTAACATGTGTGTGGCTTGTTTTAAATATTCAGGTATCATCTGTAATTTTTCTTAATAATGGTTTTTTAATAGATGCACTGGCACAGGAGATAATGTCTCTAGTTAAAATTTGCCTTTTTAAAAATTTGCATGACCATATACAAACTGCTGTATCTCAAAACTACGAAAAATAATCCTGTAAAATAAATCAATAGCACAAATTACAGAAATGATGGCTGGATTGTACATTGTACTATGCCACGGTATAGTCATCTGTATTTTGTTGAATAAACTAAATTGGATTCATTTGCACATCATGTTAAGGCAAACTTTCAGAGTTAAATCCAGGTTACATTATTTGGGCTAGAATTTGTTGTGCTCTTAAAAAAAGGAACAAAAATATGAATTCATTTTCCAGTTACTCAGGTAGCTGTTTATGTACATTCTTTTATTTTCATTTATGGGTGTCATTGAAATCACAATGCCGTAAAATTAGTTTTGTTTGTTTTTGCTCTTGTTTGCGCATATTATATTGCTTAAACTGGATATAGCTATCCAGATCACTATGTGAAAAAGTCTCTGCATCCTTGTGGATGGTGCAAACATCAGTCAAGGATTTGGTGGTCCTGGACATGAAACAACATGTCATAAATAGTTTCACATTCGTTTGAACATTTTGAAGTCCCATTTTTGCAGAAAAGCTGAGAAAACTTTTGGATCAATCTAGATCCATCCTAGCATCTTGTAATTTAATATTTTGTTTCCAAGAAGCCTGAAAGTTAATATGTTTTGTCACTACATTAAGAAAAGCTCAGCTCCATCCAGTCGCCCTGACTCCACCCTGAAGAAAGGGATTAGAGGGCTGCTAAAAGAAAAAAAAAATAGGGAGAAGATGACAATTAGACTGCTCAATTGTTTTTTAAATAAAAAATGCCAAAAGACTTTCCATAACATTATAAGCTGCATAGCAAAAATGTCTACTCAGTAACAAAAGAAAATAAATGCTACACAATACTATTAGCAGGACACTAATCTCACTATTTTCTGTACTAATGTATATTTTGTTATTTTGCCTCTTTTTTTATCTAGGGTTTATGTTTCCTATTATATTTTATTTGTCACTGACCCAGGATTGATTTTAACTATATACTTACATTCACATGTAATGCATGTAATAATATAGCTACCCAATTGCTCAATATTTCATAGTTAGTACCCTGTGCTTAAAGTATTTTACTAGTACTATTTTTACTAGCAATAGCAATAGCAGTTAGACTTATATACCGCTTCATAGGGCTTTCAGCCCTCTCTTAGCGGTTTACAGAGTCAGCATATCACCCTCACAGTCTGGGTCCTCATTTCACCCACCTCGGAAGGATGGAAGGCTGAGTCAACCTTGAGCCGGTGAGATTAGAACCGCTGAACTGCAGATAACAGTCAGCTGAAGTGGCCTGCAGTACTGCACCCTAACCACTGCGCCATCTCGGCTCTACTAAGCCGCAGCAGAGGGATGAAAGAGCCACATGCGGCTCCAGAGCTGCGAGTTGCTGACCCCAGCTCTAGACTTGTCACATCCAATTCCTGTAACAGTTCTGCATATGTTTTTGTCCGTAGGCCCCTAATTATCTTAGTTGCTCTTCTTTGCATTTTTTCCAAAGTCTCAACATCTTTTTTTAATGTTGTGACCAAAACTGGATACAGTATTCCAAGTGTGGTCTTACTAAGGCTTTATAAAGCAGTACTAATACTTGATTTTGATTCTGTGCCTCTGTTTATACAAGGATTATGTTAGCTTTTTTGGCTGCTGTCACACACTGCTGGCTCATGTTTAAGTGATCATCCACTAGGACCCCCAAGGTCCCTCTCATAGTTACTATTGAGCCAGGTGTCACCTAATCTGCACTTATACCTTTGGTTTTTCCTGCCTAGATGTAAAACCTTGCTTTTCTCCACATTGAATTTCAATTTCTTAGATAAGCCCATTGTTCAAGTCTTTCAAGATCTTTTTGGATCATGAGCTTGTCTTCCAGGGTGTTGGCTAATCCTGCAAGTTTAGTGCAATCTGCAAATTTGATGAGTTCCCCTTCTAGTCCTCCATTTAAGTCATTTATGAAAATATTGAAGAGTACTGGGCCTAAGATGGAACCTTGTAGAACCCCACTGCTTAATTCCATCCATGTAGATGTTGTATCATTAAGGAGTATAGTTTGTCAGCCAGTTACAAATCTATCTGGTGGTGATTCGTATATCCCACTTTCCTAATTTACCAAGAAGTAGGTTGTGCTCTACTTTGTCTAATGCCTTGCTAAAATCTACTATTTGTTTCTGTTATTTGGGCTCTATTTCTGTATTCACTTTATTGTGGTAAATTGTTACATGAATTTTATCTATGTTTTAGAAACATTCTAGGTTTTAGGTGTTTTGCTGTCCCCCTTCCCCGCCAGATAATTGTTTTCCCTTTCAATGCGATGACTTCTTGTGCTCTATTCTTTTAAGACATTTAGGAAGTTTAATTTGCTGGTCAGCTACTGTAATAAAGGGTATCCATTAATGGAGAACTTGGAGTAAAAATCCAAGTTATAAATATGCCTAATTTCACCTCATTTAATTGTACTTTGCATTGCAATAAATAATTTGCACCTCATATAACTAATTACATATGTTGCTCAGCTAATGATTAGTATTGCAAGAATGGCAAAAAGTCTTCAATTTTCTTGTATATTTTCTTGACATTTAGTTATAACATTCCATGCATATACTAAGATCTAATTATATTCATGATCGCTTATTATAATCAAGCCTTGAATCTTAAGATCTAAAATGAACTAAAATGTAGGCTCTAAAATTGAGATTTTGCATAGTCTCTAATTGGCTGTATTCCTGAGACCAAAGACAGAAAAATGATTTCTGTCTCTTGTGTCTTCTGTGAGTAGTTCTGATCATAGTTGTTCACAGAATGAAAACTATAAAATACTGCCCACCTACTAAGACATATCAAGCATATTGTATTTTCATATGTATAATGTTGGAGATTATGGCATTTGTGCAAAAAAATGATATTGGTGTTACAAGTGTAACCAATTTAAAATATTCACAGAAGATTGGCTTTCAAAGCATGTATCTTGTATTGTATTTCCCTTCTTGCTGGGATGATATAGGATATAATTTTCCAGGGTCATTGTAAATATACATTCTAAACTGATGTGCTGGGCTTAATATACTGTGCATTACCTTACTCCAGTGGTTTTCCAATTTAAATTAACTTATGACCAGTCACCACATTTGTTCAGGCCCTGATTACAAATCCATAAAGAAGGTGATTTAAATAGTCTCTTCTTTCTTCATTGATTTTAATTTAAAATTTAATTTATTTAATGCAGCACAAACCTCTAGATTTTAAAAGTGTGATGATGAGTTCATTTCAAGTTTACGGCTAGCAGATAGGTTTTCTTATCCCTGCTCTTAAATTTATCAGTCTTCAATACCAACTTTCCTAAAACACTGCACTATATAGATTGGTATTTACTAGGCAATGAAATAAGATTTGATGCACTTCCTATGAATTTTTTACAATTATTACTTAGCTTTATTAAATACTGATATTTTGACAAATCCCACCTCTTTTTGTGTATCAGAACTATAAGTATTATAAGTCCCACTCATGGATCAGAATACATCATGTGGGGATCTATAAAAAGCCTCAGTTTTTGATTTATTACATTGTGGCATGAGGTAAAATAGAAATATCTATGGACAAAATGCAGCTGTCTCCAATGGGGAGGTTTTTGTGTTTGTGGTTGAACATTTGAAAGGTTCCATATAATCTCAAATCTTGCTAATATAGAGTTTGGTAAAATAGAAGTAAGTTCCTAGCAGTGCATAGAGTCACAGATTCTCTTCTTGCTAGCAAACCCACATTTGCCGTAACATTCTTTGCTGAAGTATTTTGTAACTTCTGGGAAATGTGGAGACCAAAGAAGGTAGAACAAATGCTGTTCTCTAAAGCACAACATTCTTTATCAGGAGTTTAAGCACTTTTTCTTACCTTTTTGTTTGGAAAATATTATCCAGTTTTGTCGTTATTCTGAGGTTATTGGTTCTTGAAAATTCTATAAAGAAAATTGATGGAAAAAGGCAAGAAAAATGTTTTTGGAAAGTATAGGAATTTTTGTGAAGTAAGAAACTGTTTCATGGGTTTTAATGCAAGCTTTTTTTCAGAAGTAAAATGTCCACTCTTCACTTATTCTAGTAAGGCAACGATATCACAAATGTCTTATTTCCCTGAGGAAGGTTCCCATTAAAATAAGTTGGGCAATTTAACGTGTTATTAGTTGCATACATTTTTCAGTAATGTATTGAGGCTTGTCAATGTTTTTGAGTTTAAATAATTGTGTTATTCCCATTTTATTACTTTCAACAGATGAAATTGTTCAACACAATTTGTAAGTTCCTTTTTAGTAAAGATTTCAGAGAATCCACTGTTTTTGTGGAAGGAGTTGCCATCATATGTCACAATCTGTGTGACAAATTCTATGAGTTTGATTTCTTGAAAATTAGGTATAAGAATTGCAGTTCTGTAGAAAAGGAATTTGAATTGCCCAACAATGCAATTATAGTATTCTCAAATTATCTGGAAAGCTATCAGTTTTATATGTCAACAACCATGATAATAAATTATGCAACAGTAATTGATACCATAAAATAATTCCTGTGAGATTGGTATGTATGTTAATGTAATTGCTGGGGGGACTCTGAATGAAGGATTTAGTTGAAAAGCACCAATTATTGTTGATTATATGTGTTCTCTTTTCTTTCTCAGGCAGAATGCTGTTTTTGAGAGGAGTTATTGTTATATATATGTTTTATTATAGATAAATTCAAATAATCTATTCACCGTACACTGTTTATTAACTATGTCTAATGCAGTTCTTCATTTATTTTTGTTTTACTAGGATTTTTCCCAAGCAGTTCTCAAGGATGTGATGCTTTTCTACGCCATAAGATGACATTAATATCTCCCTCAATATTGAAAAAATATGGAATTCCTTTTAATAAAGTGAGTTATTTATTATGTTTGGCCCTTAGCCATTAGATCAAATAATGCCTATGAAATCACATTTATATTTACACAAATTCAATTTTAAACAAACATATCTTGATGAACAAATTATGATGTGCATATACTTGGTAAGGGTGAGGAAGGCATGAAATAAAACTTTATTTATTGAAAACACATAATACCTAGATACCAGGGACGTGCAGTCACTAGAGGCAGGGGAGGCGTGGCCTCGCCAGTCATGAGGAAAAGGAAAGAATTTTAATTTTTTTTAAAAAAATAATTAAAGCCAAGGTAGTTGCTGCCAGATTCCAAATCACAGTGACTTGGAAGAGTTCTTAGTGTTAACTATAGGAGGAGGCCAGAGAACTAGGAGCCTCCTGTGCATAAGCAATTTTTCGCCTTTTAAGAGTTAAGCAAGGGTTAAAAAGCAAAAAATTTCATATGCAAAGGAGGCACGTGTTCTCTCGCCTCCCATAGAGGGCATTTTTAGAGGCTTTTTAGAGTTCTCTGGGAGCAACTAGCTCAGTCTGACTCAGAACTCTGGACTTTCATGAGGGCAGAGTTGAAATCATCTCTGAAACAGCTGGAAAAGGTGCGTGTGTGGGGAGGGGGGAGGAATTCAAAAAGTTTGATTGCATGCAGAACCACGTTGCCTTTTCAAACACACACACACACACAGCTGGATAAAAGTATATAAGCCCAGCTTCACTGAAAAGGCAACGTGATTCACCTGCAATCAAAGGCTCCGATCGGAAGGCAGCAGGGGAATTGGGGGGGGGTATGGCAGAGGAGCTGCTTTCAAGCCTTTGGAAAATATATCCAATCCAACTTCTGTGTTTGTGTTTGTTTGAGAGTGAGTGAGTGAGAGAGGGATCCAACTTCTCTCTCTGTGTGTGTCTGTTTGAGAGAGGAGGGAGGGAGGGAGAGAGGGAGGAAGGAGGGGGAGGGAGAAGAAAAAGAATGGGAAAACTTATTTTGCAAGGGGGAAAAATGCTGTCGCTTTAAATCGGAACTGAGCATGCCTGGTGTGGAATTCTGGGAGTTGAAGTCCACAAGTCTAAAAAGCTGCCTCACCAGCCATAAAGCTCACCGCATGTCACTGCTAGATACATATTCCCTCCCTTCCTTTCTCTGGATTTATATCCTACAAAGTTTTTCCTAAATCAATCAGATTGGTGACCTAAGATTTGCAGTCTTTTAATGAAAATGCCAACCTAAGTTGTATCTTAAAGGTAAAGGTTCCCCTTGCACAAATGTGCTAGTCGTTCCCGACTCTAGGGGGAGGTGCTTATCTCCGTTTCAAAGCTGAAAAGCCAGTGTTGTACAAAGACGTTTAGTCATGTGGCTCGCATGACTAACTGCCGAAGGCTCGTGGAACGCTGTTACCTTCCCACCAAGGTGGTCCCTATTTTTCTACCTGCATTTTTAAATGTTTCGAGCTGCTAGGTTGGTAGAAGCTGGGGCAAGTAACGGGAGCTCACTCCGTTAGTGGCACTAGGGATTTGAACCACAGAAGTGCTGACCTTTCTGATCAACAACCTCAGTGTCTTAGCCACTGACCCGCATTACAATACAAGTTGTACAATACAGGTTGTATCTTACATTTCTTCAAAGAATTCAAAGCAATGTATATAATTCTGTTCTTTAAGGAGGAATAGACCTGACAACATAATTGTATGGGAACAATATTTCAAAGACAGTTATGGGTAACTTAATTGTCTTAAAATTGGGAATCATGTTATAGAAATCTTCAAATCTTAAACTGCTTTAGGGTGGAAGTAGATATTGGTTGATGAGAGCATAATGGATTTTGCTTTTAATGACAGCCTTTCACCTGCGCAGACAGATGCAAGCTAACAGGGTTTGCTGGTTCACTGTGATCGGTTTGAAAGCTTTTTGCAGACAAATCACTCATATCTATTTTTATTTGAATACTCATTTGAATATTTGTTGGATCAATATTTGTAGATACATCTTTAGTACCCGCATGCCCATTTAAACTTATATATGTGTTTCAAATTATGCAGTCTGTAAACATGGATAGAATTCTTGGCAATATAGGCATAGCTACATGTGTACTTAGATCATCTGGATAACATATGTCCCAAATTAGATTAGATTCAACTTTGGTCCTTTGTTGTGATCAATTCATTGGATGGTTTATTTTGCGATCAATTCATTGAATCATCTACTTTGGCATTTTGGATGGTGGTGATTCTGCTGGATTTTTAGCATATTTTCATTACCACCAAGCATGGCAAACCTCTTGATAATCTTTAGGAATGGAATTTAAAGGAATAGTTTTACCGGGACTTTAATTCTTTCTGTTAGATTGTGCTCCAAAGATTGTGCTGAGATATTTAATTATTTAATTTGATTTAATATTAAAATTATTTTCCACCTATCTCACCATGGGACTACTCTGGGCATCTTATTTTATTATTTTCCATTCTCTTTCTATAAGAAATCATATGAAATTTAGAGGTTTGGTATTATTCACATACTGTATCACAAGCATATGAATAATAGCCAACTCTATCCTTCCCATCTCATTATAAAGAAATTCTTGGGACCTTGAAGAAGGGACTCTATAGGAATTAGCAAATGGAAGATGAATTCTAATCATACAGATGTATTTTTCATTTATAGATCTGATTTAGAAATTACCTTCTAATGAACTAACATTTCCTTTGAAAACTCACTTTAGAGATTATTCTGGATCCAGTTGTGAACCTGGAATTCCAATTGTCAAGTGACTAAGCATTACTTTGTGCAACTGAGATTGGTGGACAATTATAGCGATTGTTGGAGAATGCAAACCTGGCACTTTGACCCATTCAAGTGATTTTCAGACTGAGGCTAAACAGCCATCTCTGTGGGATGCTTAATCTGGATTCCTGCAATAAGCATGCATATTACTTAAATAGATCCTTCCAATTCTTCCAGTTCTGTGATTCTAGATATATCATGTATTTCAGTGCACTTTTATATAGAGCTCTCTTTGGAGACTTTTTTAAAAACAAAAATTAGTTCAGAATGCTACAGTTTGTTTTTAATAGGAATTGTGTATGGAAAATACATAACTATTTTGTTGAAACAGTTTCATATCTTCAAGTTTGTTTCTGCCTATACTTGCTTGTGTTTTTTTAAGATTCAAATAATTTGGAAATAGAATATTTGAAGTATAACATTCTTCCATATGAAATAGTTGCTCTGTGGGTAGCATTGTCGGATCATGTTTCTATATTGTAAGCTGTCTGTAATTATGATTTTCCAGTATTGTGACTAGGAATTGAAATGAAATTTAAATTTCCAGAAAACCCCCATCTCATTTCCTTTTCCATAAATTTTGAGAAATCAGTGGATCTTTCTTTTTAAAAGTGCCATCAATGTATAAATGTATTTTTGTTTTTATCAAATTGCTTCTAGTGCACAGTGTAATTTCTGTCTGCTGTTTTCTGGTTTTATATTTATTGTATTGTAAGCCATTTGCATTCTTAGGTGGGATAGGAATGTTTTAAGTAACTGAACAATGGCATGGCAGACAAAATAGATTATTCCAATCTTCTCCAATATGAATGACCATTTTAAATTGGAGATGCGGAAGTTGTAGTCCTAGGTGTTTGAGAGACATTATACTTGGCTCTCTTAGGGACTTAGGTATTTACAATTGTTATAGGAATGCTAGGATAAAGATGAAATATTAAAACATTTGATCTATTTTTTTGAAAATGCAATATAGATGTATAAATATACAGTATAGAAGTAAGATTGGTGTCCCGCTGAATGCAAACTCAAGCAGCCTCTAAAAACAGAGAGGAATCTCTATGTAAAGGAATGAAAACAAATAAGAAAATTTAAATCTTTCCTTAGGTTTGAAAATAATATAAAACCATTGCAAAACATAATTGTTTCTGTTTCATACTCTGCCTTATAGTTTGTAGTCTTGGAGAGGAAAACATTTAAAAAAGGACTAAGTCTAATTGTAGAACAGCTGCAGTTTTCTCACAATAGTTGTATGCCAGAAAACACAGAAACGGAATCCCAAACCAGCCAAGAATGTTATCAAAACACAGTGTGGGTTTCTTCCATATGTAGGAACAAGAAATGAGCTGCAAGAGGTTTGTTACCATGTATTGGTGGGAAAAAGAAATGTAAGATTTAGAACTGCAGCCCACTATAAACAGAAAGATTGATGGTTCAAATCTGCAGTGGCTGTTGTTATTAGGGCTTCTTTTATCTACAGTAAAACAGACTAAGTCTGTTGCTCCTGAGTATGCATTTAAGTTTATAAAGAAGGATTAATTGCTGAATTGAGGACAATGGTCTAAAGGGTATTATGTTTTGTAAAAAAAACATAGAGCGAGTTGTTTAGCATCTATTCAGAATGTCTTCAGCTTTTTTTATGCAGGATACCACTGTGCTATTTAGATATGTGAAATCAATAATTAAAGATTTACATCCGAACAAATTTTGTTCATTGTAAGTATATGTTAAAACATTAAGCAGAAACAGTATTTCTGTACTGTTTGATGATGTGCCATCAAATTGGGGTCAACTCTTAGTGACCACATAGATTTTCTCTATGACAATCTCCCTAACTTAGTCTTTCAGGATTTCTAGTGGTGTACTGATTGTGATTGTAGCTGAATCCATCCACCTTGCTGCTGGTCATGCTCTTCTATTTCTTTTTACCTTTTCTAGCAATAGAGATTCCTCCAAAGATTTATTTATACATATCCAATGGCCTTTATTGAATTACATATATAAACACATACCATATTCATTTCTCTCCCCATATGTCATATACTGGCTTTTCTTTTATATTTTGTTTGTATTCTGCAAGCTGAAATAAAAGAAATGTTGGAAAAAATAATAGAAATGTCAAGGATACTGGCGAAGAGATTCCTTTTAATGTTTCCAAATTTGTTTTTCATAAGCTGTAGGGTATTGAGTATGCAAAATTTGTCATTTTACATGATTTTATTTTATGTTAT